GTAACTATGCTAATCTCCTCTCGCGTGCACGAGCAGCTGGATACGAACAGGTGGAAATTACGCAGCTCATTTACGCACTTACGAACATGTTCTTGCATGAGGCCCATTGTTACTTCCATGGACTTGAACTGTTGTACACAAACCAAATCAGAGTCACATATGTTAAAAAATAATTGATATGACTCACTTTAACGTGCAGTCTGAACAGCTTTCAGGTTCAGGTTAAAGTTCATGTTTTTCCCAACAAGGAACACCACTTATTTAATATATAGTTCTCATTTAATTCAGCAGCAAAGTTACCCTGTTGTGGCTAGTGTATAAATGCACACGTCTCTCATAATGGAAAGGATATTTCACCCACATTCATCTGCTATTAGTCACATTATTTATGTTAGTAAGATAGAGCAGGAGGAATAACTGATACTGATCCTCTTCATTCTTTCTAAACGCCTCAGTGCAACAAAGTTTAATTTATTAAAATGTTTAGTGATCTTTTCACCTGTACTGTCTGTCGTCCAAAGCATCTGCTATGCTCCCAGTCTTCTGTATCTTCTGTCAGACGACACAGAGAGTGGTCAACCTCAACATGTGCAGGGCAGGTTTTGGTTTGTAATTTGTTGAAACTCTGCATTCACCTATATTTAAAAGAACCAAAGGGACAATACAGCAACATCAGTAAGCTGGACTCAGAGAAATGTTGACTCCTATTAGACAGACAACAGCTGTAAGAGTTTAATGTTTACAGTTAAAGTCACACTCACTGCATAATGTGGAAATTCATGGCACTTTGAGCCAAAAATGATAAGCTATAGGTAAACAAAACGCCTAAATACAACTGTGGTGTCTGCAAGAATGACAACCGATGAATATGATTGCACAAAACAACCATTTTTGTCCATTTTCCTCCTCTTATTACCAGTGACGTCTGACTGCCTCTTTGTTAAACCTACAAAAATCTGTATTTTGGAGTCAACCAGTAGTCCTCACCTGAGTGCACAACAGAGGAGTTCTGCTCGAGTTCAGCACAAAACAAACGTCTATCACAGAAGTCTAAGCTCTCCACGCCAGACAGAAACAGTTTAGATGAGGTTTGGTGATTAAAATCAATAAAATAATACTTACTGCGTGTTTGGTGAGCTAAATGAGCTATTCCTTGCTGCAGACTCCTGCTCTGTTCCATTCTTCTTCTTCTTGTTTTTATTCAAACAGCATTAAGCACCACTGTTAGACTCAGCAGCGCCCCCTTTGACTCGGAGTGTAAATTACAGATTGAGCAACACTGTTGGGAACTGAATGCATTGTCAAGCAGCATCAACCATACATGAACTACACCAATAAAATAATAAATACATTCTGCCTTTATACTAATGTCCTAATATAAGCTAACAAATTTTTGTACATCCTTTTTGAACTCGAATTGTTCAATAAATGAAGGGTAAGTGTTTTTATACATTTGTAGAGAAATATAACAATACATTTTTAATCATAAAATGAATTCAAACATTTTAAACCAATTTTGCATTCACTGGTAATATTTCTGATGACGACACACGTTTTGCACGCAGTTCAAAACAAATCGATCCACACTCCGGCCAGCAGGTGGCGATAATTAAACCGAGTAAACACCAGAAGAAGGTCTGTCTTTCCCTCTGTTCGAGAAGGGTCTCGATGCATTGCTATATTCTGCTTAGCATCTCAGCGCCATGTTTTCGTGGCAATATTTTTCCATATGAGAGTATAAAATAAACTGAACGACTTCGGTTGTTCACCTGCATTGCGAAATGTCTGCGCTAAGGTAAAGAGCTACAATGAACCGTGGACTCTTCAGTTTTCTCGTTTCTCGGTCTGCTAGCTTTTGCTTAGCTTCATCAGCTAACAGCTAAGCTAACTCTTGTAGAAAACGACGTAACAATACTTATACAGTTTCAAGAATGGTTTAATATTATTTACAGGGTCTATCAACACATTTATAGTTCTAATCGTGTTTTGAGAGTGTATGGAGACTGTTGTAACATAAAAAAACACATGAGCTGAACACGCCCCTGATTCTATTGCATGATAAAACCCAGTTATTAGTAAACTCATCCACACCAGCATAAGCAGAGTTGTTAACCACAAAGTGTGAACCTAATATAGAATAATCGTTTCGTCCTTGTTAAATGTTTTAATCGAGTTTTTTTTAGAGCAATTACTGTGTCCATGTTTGTTCATTTTGCAAAGAGCTGCCTATTTTATCAGTAAATATTGCATTTGGTTAGGCATCCTATAGTCATATTTCCAGGCCATGACAGCTAATAAGTAAAGAAATAAAGACTGGACTTGGTTCTTACCTTGTACCTTGTTTCTTTCCTCCTGGTGACTTTAGTTGACATAATATGTGGAGTCACTCAAACACAAATATGTGGAAGGAATATTTTTGCATATTACAACCCACCTCATTTTGCATAGTCTGAAGGTATCATTTGGCAGATCAAAAATAATCACAAAGTGAAATAGAAAGAAGTTCCTGTCTTTGTTATATGGGGCCTTTTCATCCGGACAAGGTTGTTGAGTTTCATCCATCACTTGTTCTGGGAAGCTGAAAGTTAATCCTTCAAAGCACCATTTGTCCATATTCAAGATAACCGAATAAAGCTCATTCAGTTTTGTTCATTAACTATTAAGTTGTAGTTACAGGAAAAAAAAGATTCAGTTACTTTAAATAATATACTATACAAATACGAAAAAGTGAAATCTCTCAAATTAACTAGTGCTTATTCAGATTTTTGATGTTGTAGAAAAAAAACATCATTGCAGCTGCCATTAAGTGACATTTCACTGCAACTCTGCTCTTTTCTCTTCACTGTAGCTCCTCTTCCAGCAAACTGAATGTATTGGTCAACCGGCTTCATGAGTACTTGGCTCATTCCAACACTGATGACGACAATGACATGTCTGAGGATTCCAGTGGTATGTTTTATTTCAGAGTCAAAGCGAGATCAGTGGAAGTGTTTTAATTGTGTTTTTCCTGCTCTGCAAATGTTTACCAAGCTTCTGTTCACAGATCGGACAAAGAAACACTGCTCTGTGGGAAACTCTTTAAGTCATTCCACTGCAGAGGTAATTTGAACATTAATGATCAAATCTTGATGTTTTGGTCATACATTAGCCCCTTGTATAGAACTAGTCCCCTAAAGACGTGTCTGCGTTTGACTTATTTTTTTTCTAAAGTCACAGAGTTCTCTGAGTCAGCTTCAGGTGCTTGCAGTTAATCATAATATATTCTATATTTAACCAGGTGTTTCAGTGCCTTTTAAATTAGCTACACAATCATTTTACTGGAGAAACTTGGGAGGAAAGGAGAGAGGAAATAGTTCAAAACTTATTTCTAGGTTCAGGTTGGAGGATGGCTGTTTGATGTTATTTATTGATTTTTAAATCCTGCAGTCTTCGACATGTTAGATAAATTTGAAAATGAGGTTTTGAAAAATTCCGTTAAGACTTGAAAAAAAATCAGTGAGATTGCTCTATACGTCCGTATACCTGCAAAATGATGTAAAATCCTTATAACTTACGGACAATCCGTACAAGTTGACATGTATGAACTTTTAATAAGGTCATGTACACAGTATACTCCTATTTAAATAAAAATGTTTGACCTGTAAGCAGAAAGCTTATGAATGTTGATTTTTTTGGTCTGTATTTCAAAGAGAAATTGCTTTTTGAACTTCTGTAATAAGTTCATATAAAACTCCTCATAGTGCTGGGCAGTATACCGTTTTGTACCGAAAACCGGTTTTTATTTTTGTTATGATATGACTTTTCTGAATACCGGTATAGCCTGAACACGTGCGGAACGTTTCGTTGCAGCCGCCAGTGAGCTGTTTCTCTGGGGACACATTTCGTTGCAGCACCGCTAAGCGCATTAGCATGCTAACGTTATTATTGGAACCACTGGCGGCGGGTGGTTTGTTTCAGCCACTTATATGGTCTAACGTTAAAAAAAAAAATCCCGTTTTCACCATCGCTGAATAGTAAACCACTCTTCAGTGACGTGCACGGTTAGATTTAACGCGTTACGTTATAACGGAGACGTTATTGCATGGAGACTCTAGCGTGCTTCTGTTGTGAAAAGCCCTGGGGAAAGTAGCTTTGTAGTGTAGCGGAGTTGACTAGTGTGCAAGGTGAGTCATCCTTATTTTAATGTGTTTTATTAACACATAACGATAGACCAGATAATGATTTTTTTTTTCTCAACCCTTCACGATCGGACCAAAATGCATGATTACTGTCTACAACCAGGCAAAGAAGAAAAGATGTACAAGAGGAGGGAAACAGTGATAAAAGAAAAAAGTCAATAAGCAAAGTTTGTACATTTTATTATCAACTGACCTGTGAGGAAAAAAAATACTGTCAAATACCGTAAAACCGGTGTAATTGTTGAAAATACCGTGATATAAAATTTGGGTCATACCGCCCAGCTCTAACTCCTCAACACTTTTTAAATACTTTGAAGAAACATTTTGCATTCATTACGAATGTAAAACCTGCAAGTTACTGTTGTAAATAGGATAAGCTCTAGGTGACCCAAAGTCCAAAAATCTGTTTTCAATTTAAACTATGAACATTCACCTAAAAGGAGGCACTAAATGTAGAACATGATAAATTCTATTCCTCAACTTTATGAACACATTTATAAAGCAGTTCATGTTTATTGCATTGTTTAACATTGTTAGATCTCAAAAAYAAAGTTCTCATAGATCAGAAATAGTTTTGCCTTTACCTCTGTTACATTGTTATAAAATAGTCCTGGAATGAGCAGAACGGCCTTGAGACATAACCAACAAATGTTTTTGTTYTGCAGGCATGTCTGGATAGTAGATACTCCAGAAGGTGAGTTTGCTGTTGATTTATACCGAGTTAAATAAAAATATGTTCCTCTGAAAGATTTCAAGATTTAAAACCTATATATAAATGCTGCTGATTGTTAAACATGAGTTTTTAAACCAGAGTAGTTTCCATATTCTTGTTTTTCTGTGGAGGGGTGTAAGTCATGAATCTTTTTGACGTTTCCTTTTTGTTTCACGTTGGTAACAGGAAACCTTCGGTTGTCATAAAACACTCAGGCCTGGACGAATCTGGAGACTCAAATGCAAGCGAGGACTTTGAATTTCCTGTCAGTTCTAATGGTCACATTGATGTCACTAGGCTGCCTAAAGGTAAGTGTTAAAGACTTAAACTGCTGCTTTTTTATGTTTAGTATTGGTGAGAGGGGATGGACAAACAATCCATGTCGGCCCTCTTGGTGGGCACATTGCTCTCCTCAAGACACTGAGCTTTTATTCAAATCTTTGTGTCCCTCAGATGAAGGACACAAGGTGTGAAATGCTCACTGTTCTGAGTTTCACGTGATCCGAGAATGCGTCGGTTTTTAAACATTTCTCAACTTTTAAAATTTATTTTCATCTGTTATTTTTTGTCTATGAAACGGCTCTACAGCCAAACAAAAGAACTGTAAAACAATAAAACAGAATAAGAGCTGTTTAGTCTACTTGGATGTTGAAGCAATCAATGAGTACACATAATTTATTTAATTTTTTTGTCAGTAATGGCCTATCGTAAAAACAGAATGTTCTAATAAAAAGTAAAATTACTGGACTTTGCATCACAGAGTGTGGTTGGTGTTGTGGGGGTCATAACTGAAAATAATGCAAGTTTAATTTTTGATAAGTGTCATATTCCGCATGTATGTTATTGCCCTTAGAACAATTTGTGTTCTGTCTTTTGTATTTGCATGCCTTTTATTCTGAATTAGCTTCATGTGTCATAGTTCCTTGTAACTTTAAGACAAGAAAATTACTTTAGAGCATATTTTAATTAGATTATCATGGATGTGTTTTGTTTGTACAGGCACAGTGCTGGTCAGACCTGAACCAGTGGACATTATGAGAGATGACTTCAGAGGTCCAGAGTTTCGCAGCCGGAAACCCAACGTACTGCGGAAAGAGTTCTCAAGGAGACGTGGAGGTCAGTCATGACTGCAGTGTTCATTTTTATGTTTCTGTGGTTTTTAAAGTTAACAGTTTGGAAGCAGGTGTGTAGCGTTACCCATCGATTGTTTGTCAGAAAACCACTCTTATCAGTCAAAATAGGTTTAACCTTTTCAACACTTTGAATTTAAATGCAGCTTGTTTATGATTTAATAAAATAACTCACCCTTGTTCTGCGTTGCTTTTCTGCTGTGAATTCAAGTGAGCTTTAACAGGACATTTTTTGTTGATAATGCCACGTTGTTTTCCAAAACAGCCAAGGTTGGTCTTATCACACATTCCAGTGTTTGTGGGAGTTATTCTTCTATAAAGGTCTCTTTACATGAGCTGTGATAGTAGATGGCTGAATGCACTCCTTTGTTGCTGCACATTATTTTGTAACAATAAGGGTAAAGACTCACAGACAAACGAGGTGTGTTTTCTTTTTTTTCTTTTTTGTAACACAAACCATATTTATAACCACGTTGTCGCTAATGATAGAGTTGTTGTTTCCCAGGAGAGCAACCTGTGGGAATTGTGTGTTGTACTGCGTGTGGCCGRCAAGTTAACCACTTCCGGAAGGATTCACTTTATCGACATCCAGTTCTGAAAGTACTTATTTGCAAGGTGAGTACTTACATGTGAGAAACTAAATTCTCTGTTTTCAAAAGGTTATACTTCATCCTACTAAAATATATTGCTAAAATATATGAAATATAACTATTTCTTGAATCTTTAATGTGCATCACATGTTCATCGCATTGTCACTTATCTTTTAAGTCTTGCCTTGTTTATCATTTAAAGAGTAAACTCTCGTAATCTAAATACAAATGTTATTTAATGCAGATAAATGTTTGTTATATTGACAARCACCTATGTATTCTTAAACATTTAAATGAAGTTAGAAAATCTACTAAATATGTTGCATTCTAGGTTCATGTACATCCTTTAAACGATTACTGAAACAGTACAATATGATTGATCATTTCTGTGTTACGATGAAACTTTAAAACAGAGATGATCTATAATTGTTATTACTGGCGATTCGCTGTTAGTCCTGCCTTTTTAGTGTCTACTTGTTTTAAAGTACAGCCTATTTTTTGAGCACAGTTTGCAGAACTGCATTCTTGGCTGGTTATGTTATTTTGTTGTACACATCTTCCCCTCCTCAGCTCCTCAGGCTGCTGCCTCAACTTTTATGACTTCATCCTCTGGAGTACACTTTAGACGTGAAGATAAATTTGGACCAGTTCCTCAATAATTATTATGAATTATCAGTGTTGTTTTTAGACTGTACGTTGCCACTACCCATAATTCATAGTAGAATCAGGTTCTATATTTCCGCTTGGCTGTTGTTTACAATTACAAGGTTACACCATTGCTGTTTATCAAAGCATTTTCCATCGAAATTTGGTGTAGATGACCGCATATCGGATATGTATATACTGTAAGGATGTTTTAAAAAGTGGCAAGGTCAATTCTTTATTAGTGGCTTACGCGTCACTGCTCACGGACTGATGAAGCCATGTCCCAATGTTGGCTAATAACTACTACTGACATGAACTACCTCGTTTTTCCCCGAAGACGCACACACACACACGCAAAATCATAAATGTCAACAGTTCTGGAAGTAAAATTTTCATAAGCCCCTCATAATTGTAATAATTTTATAAAAGTATTGTGATTAGACGGTTTCTCCCCTTTATTCTAAACATAAAATTCTCTGGGTGCTAGTTCGCTAGTAACTTTGAGAGATGAACTAGCAGTCATTTTAAATAAATGATAAACAAAAATAAATAAACTGCCTCTAATAACTCTATTAGCATATTTTTTATTTAAACAAACCGGACACTTTTATATCCCCTGGGCGCTAAGCTCCTCGTCTTTTAATCCTGCCATGATGTAARCAAAATATTTTAGCATGTATTTGAGAAGAGGGTTGTTTATTATTCCGAACTTACTCAGAATTGAGACAGTTAGATTAAGTCATAAATATAGTTTTGCCAGTATGTGGCTACAAACCATAGGCAAAATATTTTTTTTAAATTTAAGATTAGCTGCAAATAACATGCTAAACAACCAGGCTAACAGTAGCTAGCGATGATGCTAACGCCATTCACCGTAGGCTTTTTCATTCAGTAAAAGCAAAGAACTGCACGATTAAATAGTGAAACAGGGACAAAGCACATTTACAATTTAACTCACCAGGCACAGATTCAGGGTTTTAGTTGATATTGCTGGAAGCTGTCTGACTCAGTGGTTTGGACGAGTCGCCTTCAATAACTAGCGTCAGACCTCTGATGGGCCTTTMAAGGGACAAAAACACTGTTCCACTTAGAACTGAATTTAGGCCACATCCGGTAACCTTAACTTGTCAAAGAGACTATCTCTTTTTCTTAATCAGATAATAAACAGAATAATCTTCTTTTTATTTGATTTATTGTTCTCTTAACTGAAAGTTATTACGCATTTTATTGTTCTCTTAACTGAAAGTTATTACGCATTTTGATAATTAGAGAATGTTTATCAAAGTTACAGGAGAAAAGAGGACACGTCTTTTCTCCCTCAGTATGWTTTCAGCTATGTATGGATTTTCTGTGCAAAAATCTTATTTAACTAAACAAATTCTTATGGTTTAAGTTGATGAAACATCAATATTTTTTTATCTGAATCGTATTGCAAATGTTTGAATTTGAAGTAATTCATTCTTTCAGTTATGTTTTTAAAGAGTTCTAATCAGATAATAACTAAACAGGTCATTATATGTTTTGTTTCTGAGCTACACAGAAGCAGTAATCTTTGTTTAGCTTCAGGAGGCGACGACAAGTCTCTGAATTAACATTTTCCCTGATATCTTCCTTTCCTAATCTAACATCGGAAGGCGGAACTAAGAAAACCCTCTTTATGACGAACACAGTTTCCGCCCGACGGAGAGTCAGAGCCAGAGTCAGAGAGACGGACCTCTGTGCCGTCCACAACACTTGCAGCTGGGTTCTCTCCGGAGAACMAGAGCTTAAGCTGTGTTGGTTCTACCCTTTATTTCCAACAGGGAACCGCACGGCCGGATACAACCGATGCCTCGCGTATCCAACTTGTTTTAAAATCTTCCTGTCGGAARTTTTATTTTGAAACCGGGATCCAGTTTTGGCTTCGCCTTTCTTCCTAMGGCTTGACGCGGATGCMTTTATGTTGATAAAATGAAAAAAGCARGCAAACTCTCTTTGGTGGGTTTTTCAGATTTAAAGCTGCAGTCATGTTAGTTTACRATCCTCCTTCGTCGGCATWAAGKGCAGTTTGTAGCGCGCTATGCCTTTACTACGTCTTGTTCCAGCCAAAATGTTTCTAAAGTGTTTCTCAGTTCTCTTCAATYGTTGTGGCAGCCARCAATTACACAAGTTGAACCCGAACTCGTGATTGAACTACTCAAGCCACCAGTTAAAGTTAAAGTTAAAGATCCTATAATCAAAAGCACTGAATAATGCTAAMATGGCTTTAACAACTTGAAATGGTTTATTTTGTCAGGCTTGTTACAATTATTATTCAAGTGATGACATCAGCAAGGACGGAGATGGAATGGACGAGCAGTGCAGGTAGAATTTGCTATTTATATTATTTAAACTAAATAAAACATCATGATAATAAGCATGTTGCAATAAGCTTTTAATTGATGTTTACCAGAGTCCTAATTCTCTCCRTATAGATGGTGTGCTGAAGGTGGAAACTTAATCTGTTGTGACTACTGCAGCAATGCTTTCTGCAAGAAATGCATTCTGAGAAACCTGGGGAGGAAGGAACTATCTGGCATCCTGGAGAGCAAGTGGTACTGTTACGTGTGCAGTCCAGAGCCTCTTTTTGACCTGGTGATGGCTTGCGACAGCGTTCTAGAGAACATAGATCGCCTATGGTGTCAACAGAGAAAGAAGAACCGAGTTGAGCCGGGTAAAGCACAACTGTACCACATGTCGCCACACCTGCCGCAGAATATTTCTYTGGATAAATGGGATCACAGTGGAATGGATGGAAATGTGGTCTTCAACTACAACACTCTGCAAGTTTCCAAGGACATTACCAAAAAGGCCAAACATCTGGTGGACTCGACAAATACCTTAAACAAAACATTTCTTRGTTTAATTCAAGAAATAACAACATCAAAGAAAACACCAGGAGTTCGCATTATGTATTTGAAGTCATTTGTGGCAGTTGTTAAAGGCTTGCGGAAGTCTCTCGCAGCCCTGGAGGACAGCTTAAAGGAAGAATTTAGTGACTTGAATCTGTTGTGCAACTGGGAAAAGCTGTTCAGCAATGATACTGAATCTGATGTAGCAGCAGGAGATGTTGAGCTGGATATCTCTGATGGAAGATGCTTGCGYGAATTGCAGAAACTGGCAACGGAGCATTTTGAAGATAATGATTCTGACTGCAAGGGAAACGTACACAGGCCTACTTCGACTGACTGCTCCAGGAAGAACATGGATGCAGATTTGAAAGAAGCTAGATGTCGAGCACAAAAGATCGGTCTGAAYCCTTCTGCAAATCAAGCTGATGTGGTTAAAAAACTGGTAGTACAGCTTACACCTGTAGCCATGGAGCAGGAGCCGTYGTCGCATGCTCCAAAGTTAGAGGAGGATTTCCAGAAGGAAAATAAAGCAAAGGGAGAACATGCATCAGAAGCTGAGGAAACTAGGGCTTTAAGTCCTAAAGCTGACAGCAARATGAGCAGTGACTGCTCAAGTGCTCCTCTCTTCCTAGAAGAGGAACAAGGCAATAGACGATCTCCTCGTGTGAAGACGACTCCTCTGCGCCGACCAAGTGACGTCAAGGCCAAAACTCCTCTTTCTGCAGGCGACAGTGACAGCGACTCCGAAGCTGAGGGGACGCCGGACACAGTAACAGCRACAAACAAAGAACAAAATTTGATTGGAGAAAGAGACGACTCTGATTCGGATGAGGTCCCTGCTGCCCTGCTCGAACGAGCTGCTATGCCGCAAAGCTCAGACGAACCTCAGAGTGATGATGAAAGGGGTCAAGCATCGTCAAACAAAGTGGCCAAGAAATGTCTGTTTTGGCTCACCAAGAACAGCCCCATGTCACCAGAGAAGATGCGGCGAAAGCGCAAGTTGCTCGACCGCTCCTCTGAGTCCGAATCAAGCAACAGGCTGATCATAAACACGCAGCAGGAAAGTGAGACGGATTCCTCCAGCGACGAAGACTCCCAGAAGAAAATACAACACTTGAGTACAGTGAGGTCAATAGGGAAGCCTCACCTTGTCAAAAGAGAAGAGGAAGGTGTGACTAGAAAGCAGAGAAGACTGCAAGCTGGCAAGTCTAAAGCAGAACCTCATCAGGAAGCATCTGATTCTTCATCCTCATTTAGCGATGATGACGATGACTCTGKGAGTGATGGAAGTGTTCAGAAGATGAAGCCGATCACAGAAAACGTGTCCTCACTTGGACTAGCAGCATTCCACCAATCATCAGGTTTGTTATTCTTCCAATATGTGTTCTCAGTGGTTAATTCATTAGTATCTTTTGTTCCTCCAAAAAATAATTGAAGAAGTAGAACATAAAATGTAGGGCTGCACAACATAAAGTGTAAGTTTGCAATTATTGAACAGTGTTTCCCCTACCATTGTACAGCCCCCCCCGCCAACGAGACGGCCCGCCCCTCTAAGAATTTCACGGCACGTAGTCATTTTTATTTAAATAAGGCCAGATCAAGTCGAGAGCTATTTTTTGCATCCCTCCATATCCAACTCTCACCAAACTTGGGGAAAAAGACGGCGCAGAGTGAGGCTGAGAGCTGTTTGTGGTCCTCACAAAGATAGGAACACGTGTGTGAGATTAGACGCGCAGCTCTGCTTTTAATCACGTTGCYCCGATGCGACAGCTTTGCAAGCTACTTTTTCTTTCTTTAAAAGAAAATGTGACAGGTGAAGCCACAGCATGCTTACTACCTTATCAATAATTACTGCCCTTTTTTCTTTCTCTGTGGGTGGGGGGTCAGCTTCACGCAGCTGCAGGTGAACACCTCCCGGGAACGCACACGTCTCCTGGACTATTTTCCACCAAGGATTATGTCGTATTTTATATTTATTATATTTCTAAAAGCACTTTGCAGCATTTCCCCCTGTGTGTTCACGTCACGAGCGCAACAAAACCGCGACGGATCAGCTGACTGTTTTTAAAGCGAGGTGCAGCGAACATGTCCACCTGCAGCTCGGCTCCGACCAGCCCGGGACTGAAGAGTTCACACCTCAACCCCTTCAGACGTTTTCGTGTTTAATGAGCATCAAAAATTTGTAATTTGCACAAAAAAAAGAAAAAATCAGTGTTAATCACTCGGGTGGGGTGGAGGTGCGCTGACTGCAGCTGCGCGGGGTGGTGGGGAGGAGGAGGAGGGGGTCTCTTAAAGACGTGTCTACATTTGACTTTTATCTTTTCTAAAATCACAGAGTTCTCTGAGTCAGCTTCAGATG